AGAAATTGAAATAACATGTCGTCGTTGTTTGTTTACGTGCAAAAACGGGCAAAGAAATGTACAAACAAGTGTGATGCACGTGCAAAGTTGTTGTTTTGCTTTTAAGACCTATTGTTTTTTTTGTTTTTTTTGACGTTCTCGTTACCGTCCGCGTCGTTGGATCTTAAAGTCCATAATGTTGACCGACGACCACCGTTAAAGTGAGGTTTACCTTTATCCACTCAGTTGATAAAACCAATTTTTGTGTATTTCACTCCCGCACGCAGTACCACTGAAAAACTAACTACATTATTTCTTGCTAGAAATCAATTTTCAGCTACTCCTACATTTATATTAAGGGGATTCTTACTGAGCACACCTCCTGTGATCCAACTAGGACTAAAGGTAAACATCTTTTAAACATCTCTCAATGGCTTCGTTTTATAGACAGAGTTAACTGCCTTTCACTCCTAAGAGTGGAAAAGGGAAAACTCACAAAGATTTCAGATTTCTTTTCAGTGAAATCCCAAGAAATAAATAGCAGTGAGTAAAAGTTCTACTAAAGAGGATTCATTTAATTGGTAACACCATAGGGTTTCGTTCACAAATTATCTCGCCATAACTCGGTCTAGGGGTGAAAGAGTTAATATACTTTAGCTTCTGAATTCCTGAGGCCTATTTATCACATAAAATCAGTTGAAAAATAAACAGTCAAACTAGTAAAGCATCACTTTGTTTTGCCACACTACCTTCGCACAAGTAAATCATTAGGCACTAAGCCCTTCCCTATAAACCATCTCACAAGGAATTGACAAGAACAGGACTTGAATACAGTTTGACAAAATGTGAACAAAAAATTCTGTACTCAATAGGTTCAACTTTGCGAAATACGAAGCTCGTCGAAACAGAGAGAGCGTGCGTCAAACTTGAGAAGTTTAAGTTTTGCTATTAAACGGATAAAAGTGACTCTAGCATCTTGAGTATCCATCTCTAAAACAGGAGGGGGAAGGGGTGTGGTAGGGGCCACACGACGGTTGTAAACTTTATCATGCATAAACAAACTTTACCTTCATCTCCCAAACATTTTGGGACTTTTGATGCTGGTGTGCTACTTGGAGACAAAGGCCTTTTCCCCGTTTTTGAACCTGAAATTAAACCAGACTAGTGATCATCCAAGCATTTTTGCCCAAATACACCCCAGCTAATTCCCTACAAAACTTGTGTTTGTATGCTCTTTTTTTAAATAGGGAATTCGCCTGTACCTCGCCCAAGACGTTTTTCAGAAAGAGGTTTCTCGTAGGCTAAAGAGACTACCAGGGCTATCAGTCCACATGAAGTTTACAGTCGTGATTGATTAATAAAGTCTATCGTTTATTAGTGAAAAAGAATTAGGGGAGGGGAGGGGGGCTTATTAACTTTCTTCCCCTGAGGAGGGGGGGAGCGCTTACTAGAGGCAGGGGGCTTAATATAGCCTGAAATTCATCCGATTGCTTCGAGTCGTTTTCTCCTCTCAACAACGTCTGAATCGACCGGCCGTTAATGCCGTCCAGTGACGTCACTCACTACCCGAAAACCGGAACGACATTTGAGAAGAAACACAAATTCGAACTTCGGAAAGGAGCACTCCGATGGGATATTTCCATGAGCCCAATCATAAGCAAGTTTTAGGCAAAACGTAGTTTTACCGATTCCTGGACTTCCGTCTACTACCGTCATAACATCCTCACCTATATCAGGAACTTTGAAGATGTCAAACACATTCACATCGTCGTCTTTTATTTGGATGGCCATTTTTCCTCTTGAAACGATTTTCAGTCTTGTGTAGACTTGTTCTATGGGCAACTGGATGGTGCTATCCCAAAGAAGTGGTCTTAGACGCGAGCGCCTTTTGTATTCCTTTTTCAGCAACTTCACGAGAACCAAGCTGTCCCTGTCTCCTTAAAACAAGGAGATCGAAAACATTCGTCAGTAACGAAAAATCGGAGGATTTGACGCTACGAACCGGGCATAGATTTTGTAAAATGTTGTCCTCCCCTTGTTTCATAGAATGACCGTAAAAATTTTTTCATATTTTGTACTTATAAGTAAGTTAAAATAATGAGCTAATTTGAAGTCTCTGCCACGTCGGTGTTTATGTTTTCTCTTCCCGTATGTTCAGTCAAACTTCCTATAAGCGACTACCTAAAATGTTAAGAGTTAAAGGTCGCTTATGGGAGGTGGTCACTTAGGAAAATCGAGCGCAACAAATGTTTGCATGTAATTTCTTAGTTCCGATATGTGTAGTTCCATGTTGTCGCTAAAGAACTTCGTATGCTGTGAGCAGCATAGTACACACCGTACGTACGTACAGCTGGCAAAGAGATTAGAACATGCTCCAAGTCGTTGCTCACGAGAGGTCAAAAACAATTAAAAAAAAATTATAAAACCGTCAGCCCCAACAAGTGGTAGCAGTCGCTTACAGGAGGTGGTCGTTTACTAGAGGTTCAAACTGTAAAGCTTCGACTGGAAAATTTTGGTATTTTGGATTGGTGCTCGTTTATATGCGAGGTTGTCCGCTCACGATAGGTGATTGCACATGGAGGTTCGACTGTATTTTATAACAGATAGGCCTTAAAAGGAATTGTTATATAGCTAGAAATTTTTTCCCAAAAGTGCGCGCTCTCATTGGTTAATTCGAGGTCACATGACATCTAACGTTGAAAATGTTTTTCGCCAAAAGCTTTCTGAGCGGGTAACATTGCAAAATCTATGACGTCAAAGGGTAATGCACTCTTACCCGTGAATAGGGACTTTTTAAAAGATCCAAAGACGCGAAGGCAACGGGAACGTCGCTCAAAAAGTGAATTTGCGCTCTTTTAGTCTTTATTGCAATTATTCCTACCCACTTACTTTGTCAAATGTAGGCGAAACCTCCTGGCGTTGAATGCCTAGGGACCATATCCAAGTTCAGAAATTGAAATAACATGTCGTCGTTGTTTGTTTACGTGCAAAAACGGGCAAAGAAATGTACAAACAAGTGTGATGCACGTGCAAAGTTGTTGTTTTGCTTTTAAGACCTATTGTTTTTTTTGTTTTTTTTGACGTTCTCGTTACCGTCCGCGTCGTTGGATCTTAAAGTCCATAATGTTGACCGACGACCACCGTTAAAGTGAGGTTTACCTTTATCCACTCAGTTGATAAAACCAATTTTTGTGTATTTCACTCCCGCACGCAGTACCACTGAAAAACTAACTACATTATTTCTTGCTAGAAATCAATTTTCAGCTACTCCTACATTTATATTAAGGGGATTCTTACTGAGCACACCTCCTGTGATCCAACTAGGACTAAAGGTAAACATCTTTTAAACATCTCTCAATGGCTTCGTTTTATAGACAGAGTTAACTGCCTTTCACTCCTAAGAGTGGAAAAGGGAAAACTCACAAAGATTTCAGATTTCTTTTCAGTGAAATCCCAAGAAATAAATAGCAGTGAGTAAAAGTTCTACTAAAGAGGATTCATTTAATTGGTAACACCATAGGGTTTCGTTCACAAATTATCTCGCCATAACTCGGTCTAGGGGTGAAAGAGTTAATATACTTTAGCTTCTGAATTCCTGAGGCCTATTTATCACATAAAATCAGTTGAAAAATAAACAGTCAAACTAGTAAAGCATCACTTTGTTTTGCCACACTACCTTCGCACAAGTAAATCATTAGGCACTAAGCCCTTCCCTATAAACCATCTCACAAGGAATTGACAAGAACAGGACTTGAATACAGTTTGACAAAATGTGAACAAAAAATTCTGTACTCAATAGGTTCAACTTTGCGAAATACGAAGCTCGTCGAAACAGAGAGAGCGTGCGTCAAACTTGAGAAGTTTAAGTTTTGCTATTAAACGGATAAAAGTGACTCTAGCATCTTGAGTATCCATCTCTAAAACAGGAGGGGGAAGGGGTGTGGTAGGGGCCACACGACGGTTGTAAACTTTATCATGCATAAACAAACTTTACCTTCATCTCCCAAACATTTTGGGACTTTTGATGCTGGTGTGCTACTTGGAGACAAAGGCCTTTTCCCCGTTTTTGAACCTGAAATTAAACCAGACTAGTGATCATCCAAGCATTTTTGCCCAAATACACCCCAGCTAATTCCCTACAAAACTTGTGTTTGTATGCTCTTTTTTTAAATAGGGAATTCGCCTGTACCTCGCCCAAGACGTTTTTCAGAAAGAGGTTTCTCGTAGGCTAAAGAGACTACCAGGGCTATCAGTCCACATGAAGTTTACAGTCGTGATTGATTAATAAAGTCTATCGTTTATTAGTGAAAAAGAATTAGGGGAGGGGAGGGGGGCTTATTAACTTTCTTCCCCTGAGGAGGGGGGGAGCGCTTACTAGAGGCAGGGGGCTTAATATAGCCTGAAATTCATCCGATTGCTTCGAGTCGTTTTCTCCTCTCAACAACGTCTGAATCGACCGGCCGTTAATGCCGTCCAGTGACGTCACTCACTACCCGAAAACCGGGTAGTGATTTTGATTGGTTGATTGTCTAAACATTCGCATAATTATGTATAATTATGAAAAATTTTACCGGGATTGTCGCTTGATATTCAGCGGATCGCATCCCTGGCATTCTTTCGTTTCGTTCAAACATTTCGATAAGCATAATCTTTATCTTAAACAGTAAAATTGCCCTTGTCTTCGAAACTGAAATGTTAAATTGAATTGCGAATGAAGAATCATTGCGAAGAGTCGGTAGGTTTTTCATTTAAATAGAGCCGCTCTGTGGTTACGGCGGCCGGTGATTTTGTTTACGCGAAGTTTTCTGAGATCAATGTTATAATTCGACCTTCTTGCTATTTTTACCGTCAAGTGTAATGATTCTGTTAGCTTTTCTTTCTTGTCTCCTTGTTCTTTTTCTTCGTTAAGGACCAAACAGCTTCTTTTCAATTAAAGCAAATCATTGTGTTTTTGAACTAAGTGTTCCGTGTGTGTGTGTTTATTTCATTTCGTGTGTTTATTTCATTTTATGTTTATTTCGATTGCGACCGAGTTTGATTGTAGAATACAACCAGTTCAGAGTTGTACGGCATGCAGTTGATAGTTTGAACGTTAAACATGAATTACCATCGAAAAAAATAAAGTAGTTCTGTATCATGCAGACATTTCCAAACGATATTTCTCGGTTTGCCACTTGAAAGTCGTGTTTTACTTTTTGCATGAATTAAAGCAAAGGTCAAGGAATAGTGACGTCACTGGACGGCATTAACGGCCGGTCGATTCAGACGTTACTGAGAGAGTAATAACGACTCGAAGTAATCGGATGAAATTCAGGCTAGGCTTAATAGAGACTTTTACGGTAATCAAACGAAAACACAGAGCAGGTCAATTGTGCCCCCAAAACAGTCTTAGATTCTGGATTTTAGGTACTGGACTCCGGATTCCTTGTCAGCGTAACTTGGATTTTGGATTACAATCATTAGCGAGATTCCAGATTCCTTGAGTTGGATTCTGGATTCCAAAGCCCAGGATTCCGGATTCCAAAAGAAAAAGTTTCCTGGATTCCAGATTCCACTAGCAAAAGTTTCCCGGATTCTGAATCCTGATTATCGTACTGGGGCGATCAATTATTAGTTGATAATCTATACACCGCGGTAATGGCCAGCATGTTGAAGTCCCAAGGTGAAAATTTCACTTAGAAAAACCCATACGAAAAGACCAAGCCTACCGTGTATATGTTAAAACGAAATTTCCTTTTGTTGTAGTCTATTACGCTATTTAGCTTGAAAAAGTAAACCTGCAACGAGCATTATTTGTCGGTATCTCACATTGTTAACTTGTAACCAGTGTGAAAACGTCTTGACCTTGTAAGCCAGTCTTAAACGAATCTTGTTCGATGCTTCGGCCATTTCTTGTTTATTCAACATCCCCACAAGGAATAAATTAAAGTACATGTCCCAGACCTTCCTACATAGAAAACAATGAATTGCTTTTGCGGACATATTGCACATGTTTCTAATATTCAAGTGTACCTTTACGAAGACGTTTTTCAGAAGAAGAGGGGTTTTCATCTTAACAGATCACAGTGGCTTTCTTTGCTAAATTCTGCTCATCCGCATTGGCACCAACAAAAAGGGTAGCAATACAATTATTAATTTTCCCTTCTGAGCCCCAGGGTTGAAAATAAGACGTCACAGAAAAAAGTATGCGTTCTTTAAAAGGTATCGCGATATTTAACAACTCTTTCAATTTGTCAAATGTAGGCGGACGTCTGTGGTGGAGTTATTAAAAGTGATGGAAAAATTTGTTGAGGTGAGGTTCTCACTACTGTTGTCATTGTAACTGCGTGAACCTACAATTCCTAATCCAGCAATGCACAATATACATGCCACTTTAAAGATTAACAATGTGAACCTGTTACCTTGAGAAATGGCAAGCATTCGTTCCACAAGTTTGTTTCAGTGATCCTGCCAGCTGTATATCTCGGCATACTCTCCTTGAAGAAGCTTGGGTTCTCTCAGTCGCAACTTCCTTTTTTTCTCCCGAACAACTCTTATTGCATTGGCCCAATCTTTAGGATCTTTTGATCTTACCACACAATTTGAACCATTCGGAACTTCCTTTAAGGCCTCGCCAAGACCAGAGTTCCCACTGACCAGCACAGGCAGACCAGCTGATAAGCCTCAAGGGCGGCTAGACCAAAGCTCTCGGTTCGGGATGGCATTATGGCAAGATCTACTTCACAAAACAACCGAGCTAGCTGCTCTCTGTTTTCATTAAAACAACGCACAGTTAGTTGACTGCAGTCAATACCTTGGTGGAGTAACAAGTCTGCTACTTTCTCTTCATCTCCGCTTGTTGCTCCAACAAATACAAGTTTGTAGGTCACGTCTTTCAACTCAGCAATGGCTTGGGCAGCAATGTCACATCCTTTTAGCTGAAAATCTTCATTGTCACCACGTCCGAACATTAAAACACTAAATGTTTTTCTTTCTTCAGTGGCTTGCCTTACATCAGAAAATTCTAAGAAGATGCCTGGGGTAAGATTGAGAACATCTTGATCCTTTCCAAACGGACGGAGATAACCTGAGAAAGCTTCAGCCAGCTTAGGTCCAACTGCTACAACTTGATCAGCCAATTTACAGAGTTCAATCTCCACTTGGTGCTTCTTCTCACCTTTGGAAATGCGTTCTTCATATCCTTTGTACATTCCAAGTTCTTCAGGAGTGGTGTGAACGACCTGAATCCACTTGCAGTAAGGATGAGTTCGCTTGATGATCTGCACTTGCCGACCAAGAACAGCCCCATGTCCTATCACACAGTCCACAACATGGTCTTCTGGCAGACAAGACAACCAGAAATTTGGTTCTAAACCTGGCATTTCTCTTGAATTAATGAGGCGGACATTGTGATCTCTAGCAACTTGTTTATCCTCTTCACTACACTGAGGAAGATAAACACTGACCTCCACGCTGGGGTGTTTTGCCAACTGAATGGCCAGCTCTTGGTTGATGGTTGACAAGCCTCCTTTTGTTGATCTCCATTCACTGCTTAACAGAGTAATGTTTAATTTCCGAGAGGAAGTGGATCCTAAATAGCTTTCATGGTCATCCTGTGATGTAGAGGCTGTGCTAGGAAAGGATGACAAATCCTAAAAGAAGAGCAACATTAATTTACTAAGGGGTAATTGCTTAAACGACACGTTACTAAATTCCTACAAACTGTAATTACACAAAGCAAGTTAAAAAACTCAAGGATAATAATTGTCTTTCATGTACATTTGACTGAGATGAGGTACTTTGCTTAGAGTGTCTTGACAACACCTTTCTGCATCTGCTTGGACTGAGTTAGTACCACACTGAGAACTGAGGACTTTACATGTATCAATTACCCACATAATTTCTTGAGTCCTGGGGGAGGGGGGGGGG